CGTTATCTAAAGTAAAAAATGCCTCTTGTAAACATGTATCACATCATATAAATCTATCTTTGAGCATCACTTGATACGTATCCTCTCCTATTTCTCTTATGTTTTTAAACTTATTTGACATACATGCAACGCGTGCCTTCTGTGCATTCATTATTTTAGTCTTTGCGTAATTTTGTGTATTCATTGCATCGTAACCATATGATCCATTAAGTGAAATTTGCAAAATAAACTTTTTCCTTTATTTCCTTCTAATTCAGCCTTTTGTCTTTCGTTCATAAATTCGTTCGCAAATTCATTAAAACAAGTGTTTTTAGTAAATGTTAAAATTGATTGAATATCATCGATGATAAAATGAAATCTGTCGATTAGATACCAAAGATAATAAGAAGAAAATGGTTGATATTGGTTGTGTGTTTGATGCTAACTGAGTTAATTTTTCTGTTTCTGGTCAACTGGTAGATTGTTTGTTTCATGTAATTATACATAAAACTACCAATTGTTTTTTCATCTGTGATAATATCTAAGTTTCTTATTATCGGTAAAAAGTTTATGTAATCATTAATATATTTTTCATCAATGTGACCCTTTACTTCAGCCACGAATAAAATATTTTTCTTCTTAATAATTCCCAGTGCTTTTGCTTTCTTTGTTGCTGTATCACAAATGATAACTCCATTCAATCTTCCCGGCATATACATTTTAGGTCAGTATATTGAATGAAATCATGAGGATTAGATGAAAATGATGAAGGATATAATGAATTAAAGTCAACACCAACGAAATGAGTCATAATGTTGGTGGTGTCCTCATTTGATATAGTTTTAGTTTCTGGATTATATGAAAGTTTATTAATGTGCGTGATTCCTTTAAGATTTACTCTATGTTGAACATTTGATAAACCACCAGTAATTCCATTACGGAGGATGTGATAAGCTTCAACTGAATCTAGAGTCATTGGTAAATTATTTTTAATGTATAATTTCTTAAATTGATTCTTAAACGTTGAACATCTTCATCTTTATTTGATTTTACGACATTGCAATAACAACACATTAACTGACAATTTTCTTTGGTATGTGGTTTTTCATTATCGATTCTATCTAATGTTGGTTTATTAGCATATGTAAACGCTTTACCACACATTTTGCATTTAGATGAAAGGATTAAATCGTGATAGTATTGAAAATCATCCATTGAAACATTATTTTTAGTATTCCTTTCTGCTTTTTCATCTTGTTTCTTATATGCTTCAATTTTATATTTCCAATACTTTTTCGTTAATTCAAAACTTGATTCCACATTTTCTTCTTCTGGATATGTTTCGTTAGGATTGAAGTTCTTATATGCTAACGCGTAACGAATCATTGATGCATTCGATGATAAAGAAAGATTATGAAGCATGTCAATTTTATAAATAAATGTTTCTTCAATAATTTTATCAATTGGGTCAATCATAATTTCAACGTCTTTATTGCAATAATGAATAAAATATTCTAATCTATTCTTAAAATTTTTAGCATCATTGAGATATATTTGATAATCACTATCTGATATAGTTTCTTGGGTTAATGCTGAATAAAATGAATTCTTCGTGAATGGTTCCACTTTATATAATTCTTCTTCGTAATTCTCCCATGTGATAAATTGATAAGGGAAAAAGGATTTAACACGTGTTTTATTGTTTCCGAAATCTTGAGTGAATTGGTCTAATGTCCCACCCGCTATATAATTTCTGATGTCAATAAATCTCAATTCATATGGAACGTTTGTTTTCTTTACAATGACTTGCTTAAATTGTGAAGAAGAACCCAGCATTGATTTTATTTTCCATTTTGCAGTGTTTAAATCACGAAGAATTAAATTTAAATCAAACTTTCCCGAATTAAAACCTATGATATTCACTTTATTGAATTCCTCATCTAGAAGTTCTTTTAAATGCTTCCTTCTGTTTTTCATTTAATACTGTTTGCGGCTTCAATAATTCATCGTATTGTTCAATATTTGATTTAGCAACTAATGAACAGGTTGAAAATAAAAATTCAATCCAGTCAGAAATAAAAGAATCACTTGAAGTTAAGCAAAAATTCCTCGTATACGTTTTATCGTTTAATTTAACCGTTGATGATACCATGAATGGTTTTAAGTAAGCGTTCAAAGTTGCACACTCAGAAAGTTGTAATTCTTCTTTAGTCTCTAATGTTTCAAAGTCAAAAGTAATATAATATCTTGTTGGTTTATAATATTTCTGCAAATTATGAGCTAATAACCACTGATATATCTTCTGTTTCGTAATATGTGGTGCATATGGTTGCTGAGTCTTTTGCAATTGAACGTCTGAATTAATCTTCCATTATTTTCTTTACATTTCTCACAATGTTTTAAAAATCTTCTTTGGTTTTTCCTTTCTGGATCATCACGGATAGAATAAACTTCTTCTTTACAATATGGACAAACTCTATAGCCGGTGAGTGCTTCAACGTCTGTTATTCTGTCAGCGTGAAGTTTTCCACATGGACTCTGTGTTAATAAAATATTTACTGTTTCAATTCTGGATCTATCATTATTGAATCCACTAATGGAAAGTCTACCTTGTTAATATCTACGTCTTCTGGTTGAGGAACACAATAATAGAAATCAATATTAACGTTTAACATTCTTGCTAATCTCTCACTTTCTGATGAAATGTCAAACCCTTCATATGCATCTATTGCTTCATTTAAATAGCTTCTACGAGTTTTAGGATTAACACCATCAGGAATGTTATAGAAGCGTTTAAATAACCTTCTACCTTCTGCTCTAATTTGATTATCATTCATTTTAGCTGTTTCATTTTTTGTCATTTATGTAAGAATAAAAAAATTAAAAAAAATAAATAAAAATAAACTTTATTTTTTTAAAGTCTGAGACTCAGAGAGTCCAGGGCTAAAGTCCATAAAATGAATTAAGAACACATAAATTTTTATCATCTGCGACGTGACGAATACATTTTAATTTACTCAAGAATGCGTACCCTGATACATTAAATCTAATTCCTGTCTTATTTAATTTCACAACTTTGAAAAGGAATGTATGAATAGCTATAAAATGATGAGAAGATGTTTTATGGGTTGCTTCCATTTTTTCTGAAATAAATGAATAAATATAATGCTTATACGTTTTCATATCTTTTATTGTTCTTATAACGAATGGTATAGACTTTTCAACTTCGTCTTCCTTCGGTGCTGTTCTTTCATATGAAACATTATTGGTATCTTCAACAATGAAACCACAATCACATAAAATTTTATATGTACCAATTGTTTCTTTTGATATTTTATCTAATAAATCAAAAACTTTATCAACACCTGTGCATTTATTTAAATAATAATTTGTGTAAATATCATGATCTTCCTTCTTAATCGTATTTGTTGCATATGTTACATTTTTCAGTGCTTTTTTGAATTTTTCAGAATCAAGAGGAGGTGAAAGTAATATACATGGATAATCTCCATCGTCAATAAATTGTAACTTATGTTTATGAATAATTTTGTGCCTTCTTCTGAAAGTGTTTCGTCTATTTCACCATCTAATAAATTTTGTGTTGATTCTGAGACATAATTTTTATATCTTTCTTCATGAGATTTCTGAACTTCTGATTCCGAAGCTGGGATATTCATTAAATCCTCTACTTCATTTTCATTATATTTTTCAACTTCTCTTAATTCCTTATTTTTTCATCTATTTCATCTCTTATTTTTTCCAGTCTTTCAATTTCATCGTATTCATCATCTTTAATCGTTCTTCATAATATTCAGGGAAAACATCGGGTTCTTTAGGTTTTTCTTTCTTAGATGAAGGATTAAGAAATTTATAACATCATCTTTATTCATTTTTCCATCATAATCTAAATCATTTAATAACTCCGCGAATTTTTGACAATTTCTTAAATAATATTTATCAACTTCATAACCCGCCTCCTCTAATATATCCATTATTTCCTCGTTTGTGAATTCTAATTTTTTCACATCGTTAGTTTTGACACTCATTTCATACAAAATAAAAAAATAAATTATTCAAAAAATGTAAGACATGAATTTTTAAAGTTTATTTTTTATTCATGAAAATAATTATTTCTAATTTCTTTTATTCTCTCGTACATACTAGATTTGAAGAATTCGGAACTTTTACCATAATCTCCTAAATGTTTTCTAATCCCTAACGTGTGCCAGTTATTATATGAAACTGTATAAACTTTATCTTTATCTTTACACCTTTCATCACTTCCAATATATTTATATCTCAGTTTTGATTTAGCATTTTCATAATCATTAACGTTTAATAATTCACAGTCTTCCTTTTTAAATAAATGTTTAAGATATTCAGGATTTAATACTCTACGTTTATATGCTCCTAACTTAGTTCTAAAGGTTTTTCTACAAAATTTAGGAATTCCATCCTCTTTAATGTCATCAATGATTTCCATTTCATTATTTTCAATTTCTTCTTCTCGTTTATGAGGTCTTTGATTATGACTCCATTGATTCCATGAAATTAAATATTCTTTATCATTATATTTATACCTCATTAGCTTATTTTGGCTTTCATATTCATTTAATAATTCACAATCTTCATTTTTAAATTGAAGTTTAACCCATTCAGGATTTAAACAATGTTTAATTAATCGCGGAATATCTGACATCATCTATATATAGATTCTTTTATAAAAGATAAAAAAATAAATTATTTTAAAATTAATGTTAATTTTTTTAATGATTTATAAATAAATATATTTTAATGCATCGTCTATATATAGATGTAACAAAAAAAGTCACTAAACCCTTTCACATATACTACTAAGATAATTTTGATTCCATTTTACATTTTTCTAGAAGTTATTAAAATAATTACTATCCAAAAACAATAGATTGATGAAACCAAGTTAATTTTAAAAGAATTTCTAAAAATTAAATTGGAAAATAAAAAAAATTAATAAATTAAAAGAACTTTAAACTGTCAATTTATTAGTGCTTGTTTGCCTTGATCATCTTGAAGACCTCAATAACAGCATCTCTTGTCTTTGGAACTTTATCTCCAAATCTCTTGAGGAGGCGTTCTGGAACAACGTAAGCAGCGCAGTTTCCGATTTCACGGGACTCCTGAGCTGTAAGTTTCTTTTCTTTCCATGTAAATTCTGGGTCGACAATTTCCTTATAGAGTTTAAGGATTTCTCCATTAGAAATTGTACCATCTGTAACCCAGTTAACGTTTCCTGTTGCTCCTTCGACCATGAGATCAATGGCCAATGGAACAAGCTGATTAAGAACTGTAATTGAGGAAGGAATATCGTAAATCGTTTCAAACTTGAGGAGTTTGCTAACCAATGACGATGATCTAAGTGTATGGTCAATTGGATAAAGGCCGCGAAGATTAAGGCAGAATTTGTAAGAATCGCTTTCCTTTAAGATTTTCTCGAAGAGCTGGCGTGTCTTGTAGTAGTAGTTCGGAAGGTGGTTTGGTTCGTCTTCTTCTGTGAAGCCTTTGCCGCCAATTGGATGCTGATCGTCGTAAGCGTAGAAAGCAGCGGTTCCAAGGAATGTGCAATGCTTCTTAAGATCACGGCAGATTCTAGAAATGGCAACATAGCATGTAACATTGACATCAAGTGTTTCAAGGCGATGTTCATCGCACCACTTGGTATTTGGACGTGTTCCAAGGCCAGCGGCACAGATAACTGAGACCTGTGGGTCGATGGCGAGGATTTCATTACGTATTCTTTCGTGTTGATTAAGTCTTGCACGAATTGGAGCCCAGGTCATGCCGCGAGCTTCGATTTCGCGAATAAAGGCACTGCCCATCTGGCCGGTTGAGCCAATGATGGCGAAGTCGACTTTTGGCTTTGGTTCTGTATTTTCTTGAAGAGCGTAAGGAGCTTGTGTCAATGGGAGCTCAGATTCTGGCCATTTGACGCCAAACTCTGGATCATCGAACTTGTAGCATGTCTTGTTTCCGTTTCCGGATGTACGAACAATGTTGTAAATTACGTCTTCCTCAAGAGCGAGGTAGCCACGAATGACACCCGATGGGATCTTGATGACTTTGCCTGGTCCTGCTTCAACGATTTCGTGAAGCTTGTGATCCTTCGGATCAATCAAAACAACGATGAGTTTTCCACGGATAACATGGAAAATCTCGTCGCCGTCAATAGAAATCAAGCCATAAACTACGTGTCTACGTGGGTAGAAACTGTTGACAGCTGCAACTGAACAATCGAAATCTGCTTTAAGGCAGTGGAATGCTTCGTAGAGTGTGCCTCTGTGATCTGGGTAAACTGGTGAGTCAATGGAATCAACTCCTTCGATTTTAAGATGCGAAACCTGGAATTTGCGAACTATGCTCATCCTAAGTTAATGTTCAGTTTACATCCTTTCAAAAATTTTCATATCTCATTGTTCAAAATGGAGAGAAATAAACGAGAAGGATGACTCAGAAATGGAATAGAGATCTATGTTATACTCCAAAAAAGCTCTTGTGAAAAGTTCATCAATCAAAGGAATACGACCAAATCAGATAGGATATGGTTACTCATAAAATAATATTCCATTCATTCTATATTTTATATTCTTGCAGAATTTTAATCGAATGAATGACTATATGTAGAGATTTCTCATATCATGAATATTTCAGTAAACTATCACTGTGTGCGATATGATGATATATCTATTTTGGGTACAAAATGAGTTTGTGATGCTTATAAAAGTACTTATTTACTAGTTTAGAGATTTCAATTTTAGATTCAGCACTTTTTCAGAAAATCTCTCTCTCTTTTTTATAACATTCTCTTTCTTTTCATATTTATCATTATTTTATACAATTCTCTTTCTCTTCATATTTATCATTATTTTATACAATTCTCTTCCTTTTCATATTTATCATTGTTTTATAAAATTCTTTTTCTCTTCATATTTACCATTGTTATATCAAATTCTATTTCTCTTCATATTTGTCATTGTTTTATTGGATTCGCTTACTTTCCATATTTATCATTATTTTATGAAATTCTCTTTCTATTCATATTCATCATTGTTTTATAGAATTCTCTTTCTATTCATATTCATCATTGTTTTATAGAATTCTCTTTCTATTCATGTTTATCAATGTTTTATGATGATCTCTCAATGTTTACGAATGCCCTCTTAGTATTGCCATCAATGCGGATTCAATAGAAATTGTCCAATTCTTAGTTGAGCATGGTGCTGATGTTAACATGAAACTTATTCTCTCTCTCTTAATATTTATCATTATTTTATAGCATTCTCTTTCTTTCCATATTTATCATTGTTTTATAGAATTCTCTTTCTTTCCATATTTATCATTATTTTATACAATTCTCTTTCTATTCATATTTATCACTATTTTATTGGATTCTCTTTCTATTCATATTTATCATTATTTTATGAAATTCTCTTTCTTTTCATATTTATCATTATTTTATAGAATTCTCTTTCTATTCATATTTATCACTATTTTATACAATTCTCTTTCTCTTCATATTTATTATTGCTTTATTGGATTCTCTTTCTTTTCATATTTATCATTGTTTTATGAAATTCTCCCGATATCATTGAATGTCCTCTTAGCATTGCAAACAAAATGAAATCAATAGAAATTGTCCAATTCTTAGTTAAACATGGTGCTACGGACGTCTAAGATTTCTTTTTCCAATAACATTATTCTATATTGGAAAAAAGATATGTAAAATTTAAAATTGAGAGAAAGTAGTCAAATTATTCTATGAGATTTTCACAATTTCATATCACATTTTTTTTGAATTCTTCTTTTACTCATTGTGATCTTTTTATAAATATGTGAATCCGCTAATTATTGCTTTCTATCAAAATTCAATCGATATCACTAAATTTTTATTGGACTCCATTTCTATCATTGTTGTATGAAATTCTATTTCTTTTCATATCTATCATTGTTTTGTTGGATCCTTTTGATATTCGTATATGCCCCCTCAGTATTGCAATCAAACAAGAATCTATTGATCTTGTTAAATTCTTAGTTGCGCATGGTGCAAATGTCAATATAAATCTTATTTTCTATTGGATTATCATTATTTTCATATCTATTATTGTTGCATTGCATTTCTTTGCTTTTCATATCTATCATGATTTAACCAAATTCTCTTAATATTCAGATCTATAACAAAAAAATCTGAAAGATATAGCTGTACAATTATTATTTTGTATAAATGTTAATTATATATATTTAATGTGATTTTTAACATTTCAAGTACTTTGAGGAAAAATGTTTTATTGGGAATTCATTTGTTTTAGAAGTGCTTATAATAGTGATAATTCAGGCTAATGTTATGTGAGGATATCCTTTTTAGATTTGTATGCTTACTTTTTAATTATTAATTATTAACAGTAGGTGTTAATCCGAATAAACAAGAAATTCGAATATTATTTTAACGTTCATAGTAATTAACAATATTATTTGTAATTTGGAGGGAGCTTGCCAATGTCCAAATTACAAATAATTTTTTAAATTTTAGTGAAGAAAATAAGTTACAAGATTTGAAATATTGTGATGAAGTTTTGTGAAGATGTGATAATTCTATATCGGAACAAATATTGTATTGACGTAGAAAGTTGTTATTTTAAACTGAAAGTTAATTACGCTTTTTGTCAAAATTTATTTCCTGGTAATGTCTAACTTGATCTTTATTTGCTGATTAAGAATTCCGTCGAAACCCAAAAACCTGTCAAAATAATATGACTGGTAAAAAAGGGGGGTGGCGTCCTAAGGCGTCCTAGTGTAAATTTCTCAAAATTGTGATATTTACATCACATTTTTGAGAGGTTTATGGGCGTCCTAAGGGAAAATTGAATAGCTAGGGCGTCCCGAATTTTCATTCTAAGATTTAAATATATTATATACTTAAGTATAATACAAGCAATATAAAAATTAAATTTTTATTATGTTAACTTATAAGAAATTTTTTTGAATTATCGTTGATTTATTGTAATCTTTCCAGGCTATACTTTTGAAATCAACTTTACCTGTCATACGCATTAATGTAGTAGATGTCCAGGTGTAGCTATTATATCCCAGCAACATTGGTATTTTATCATTGTAAGATATCAAAATGAAGCGTTTTTTCAGATATAATTTTTCGTAAATTTTTCAAAAATAAGATGGTAAAAAAGCCTCGACTTGCTCGAAAAATAACAATTTTTTTACTTGTAAAAATAACCCTTTTACAGCATGGGCAGCTATTCAATCACTATTTCTTTTTCTAAAAGTATATTTTTCAAAAAAAATTAAGATCAAATTCGACAATTTCTTGATGAAAGCAAAAATATTACACATACTTCTAGATGCATGGGATAAAATATGCAATTATCCAATCAATTCGCATGATTTGAAAAAAAAATATAAATTTGATAAAAATGTAGAAATTTTTTATTTTTAACTTGAGATTCGATTTTTTTGATCCAATTTGTGAATTTTTTTTGATCGGAATTTCAATTAATTTGTTGATCAAAAATGACCTCACAATGTTTGATCATAAGTGAAGTCATCTTCATGGGTATTTAGAAACTCCAAGAGAAATTGCTTATTTCTCGCAGATGTAATATCTGAGAAAATCGAATTTAAATATTCATAGAAACCCAAATCATTCTCCGGTTCGAATAATTCATCTGTTGCTTTTTCTGTTTTTTCTATGAATTTTAATAATTTGATTAATAAATCTTCATCAGGAAGAATTATTGCTGCATTTGTGATAAAATTCCATATTGAGGTAATATGGCAATAATTACATTTATAAAATGTAATTTTATCCAAAATTTTTTGGCAAATTCGCATAATAGCATTAATATTTGAAGCTGAGATTAAACCTGTGATTACTTCTGTAACTTTTGGAAAATCATCGCAATTTAATATCTCTTTATATTGAATTGAGAAATAAAAAAAATCAAATGGATTCATTTCTTCAATTTCAAGGAGATTGTAAAAATTGATAGAAGTGTTATTGCAACAAATTGTATTTGCAGCAAAAAATATCATTTGCTCGATTCCATTTTTGGAATAAATTTGCTGGAACAATGTTAAATTAAAACAGTTGCTTAATTTTTCTTCATTGTTTTCATAAAAAAGTAACAAGTTTGCAACTGAAATTTCAAAATTTTGATAATTGCCAGTTATTTCAGTAAATATATATATTTGCTTTTCTTCATCTAAAAATGGCAAATATTGATTTGCAATATTAACTAAAGTTTGGGATAAATTGTTCCAGTTTGATTTTACAATTTGTGAGCACATTATGTAATATGTAAATTTATCCGCTTTGTAGGAATTTAAAATTGTTTGTTGTTCTGTTTCAGTTAAATTACTGAATTTTTCAAGATTAATATTGTGATAAAAAATAGAATCCTTGAAACATTCTGATATCTTTTCAATGTTTAAAACGGATGCTAAAAAATGTAAAAGAACTTCATCAGTCACTGTGATTTTTTTGAAAAATTTATCCCAATTCAAGCATCCAATTGATCTTTCTGTCATTGTACTTATGCATTGATAAAGTTGATTTAATGAATCCGAAGAATAATCATTATGCTTGACTAGTTGAGTTAGTTGATACAGACTGTCGTCAGCCATTTTAAAAAAATGAATAAAATTGTATAGTAAATTATATTTGTGAAATTTGTGACGCTACATTCAATCTAAGACCAATATCTCAAAGAATTCCTCATTTAAGTATTACTTTTCATTGTTTTTTAAAAAATATCTTTGCTTATTTGTTCACTTTTTTGACATTTATTATATGCTTTTTATCATATTTCCGATGATATGAATATATATTCTATATAAGAATGACGCTACATTCAATCTAAGACCAATATCTCAAAGAATTACTCATTTAAGTATTACTTTTCATTGTTTTTTAAAAAATATCTTTGCTTATTTGTTCACTTTTTTGACATTTATTATATGCTTTTTATCATATTTCCGATGATATGAATATATATTCTATATAAGAATGACGCTACATTCAATCTAAGACCAATATCTCAAAGAATTACTCATTTAAGTATTACTTTTCATTTTTGATTCAATTTTCGAACGGTTTTCGTAAATTTTGCATCATTTCATTTTTTAATGGGAAAATCATCTATATTTAATCAAAAAAGAGCAAACTTTACAGACGAAAATAAAATATTTATCAGGGAACAATCTGATAAATACCAAAAATCAACATCGAGAGATGAAAAAACGAATATAATCAAACAAGTTCTTCAATATTTTAATATTAAATACGCCGAAAATGAATCTAAAGCTGTCAGAAGATATTTTAGTTATATTGCAGTTAAAAATATTCCCAGTTACT